AACCGCTCCAGATAATTAACTCCCCCTCTTTTCAGCCCTCTGGGATAACTGCTGGGTTCCGGGAACCGCTGGGCACAGCTTTCCCAGTCCTTGGAAAAGGTATGGGAAATTGGAGATGCACCAGTCCTGTTTGACGCCACTGCCCGTATCTACAGAAAAAGAGCCCTGCTGCCCAAGACCCGGTGCCCGTCGGGGTCTGTTTTCAGCTGTGCCCAGTTTGCTTTGGAGCCGTCCTTCCTGAGCGAAGACAAAAATGTGTGAGCCGGAGGCTAAAAAACTGTGAGTTGGCTCGTACGCACTCAGCTTAGAGGGAACCCTGCAGCCACGGGAACAAGGAATTATCAAAGAAATGCAAAACCCCTGAAATTATAACTATGACAACTTCAGTACTTTAGTATTTTCATATTCTAGTCCATATATCTCTATAACAATACATATCAATCACAATAAATCATTAATAATTAATATGTTGTCGAAGGCTTTCACGGCCGGAGTTCATTAGCTGCTGTAGATTTCCCGGGCTGTCTGGCCGTGGTCTTGGCATTGCAGGACCTGACGTTTCACCAGTAGCTGTGACTGGCATCCTCTGAGGTATAACACAGAAAGACGGGAGCACTCTCTGTGTCAACGTGAGAAGAAGAAAAATGGTAGGCAGGTAAACTCAGGAAGGTGGGGTAGGGCTGAGTCATTATCTTGTAGGCGTTCCCCAGGCTTTGAAACATGCTCATGGAGGAGCTTTCCTGAGGAGGTTCCTTTGTACATGGATTGTTTCCTGAGGAGGTTTTCTGTTTCCTGAGGAGATTCTTTTGCATGTGGATTGGCTGTTTATCAGCTATGCTGCCATGGGGTTGGGGAGCTCATTCTGTGTCTTGTTAATTGTTTCTGCATTCCTATCCCTGCTGTTCTGCCTTTGCTGAAATGCTTATCTCTACAGATGTGCAGGAGGAGGTTGTGTTGTCTGGAAGCCTCCTATGTACCGTGAGAGACTCCTGGTTCCCAGCTTTAGCCACCTAACAGTTTCCTAGCTGGCCCCGCGCACGGGAGGAAAGCTAATTGGCCCATGCCATGGGGGGGGGGGTGCATACGAATGCCCTATATCCTATTATGCTCAATGGGTTTCCGCCATTCTTAACAGTGCCCGTGTTACTGCATCTATAGCTTTGCAATAAACGTATAACCATTCCTGAATGCGTGTACTTCGTTGTAAGCTGTGGGTTATGACATTCTGTTGAAATTCTAATCTTATCTGAATAAATAATTCATTGTCGTTATCAATAGTCCTTTCTTCAATATCCGTATATCGAAAAGAGTGCCTGTAAATGTTATTTCCAAGATTAAAGCGCTTGTGCTGTAGTAAATGGTCTTAAGAATATTAAGAACATTTACATAGATCAAGGTGGGCACTCCATGAAATTGCTGAGCGGTCGGGTGAGAACGGATAAGAGGAAGTCCTTCTTCACCCAAAGAGTGATTCACTCTTGGAATTCACCGCCACAGGAAGTGGTGGCGGCTACAAGCATGGACGGCTTCAAGAGGGAATTGGATAAGCATATGGAGCAGAGGTCCGTCTTTGGCTATGAGCCACAAGGTATAGATAGGGACTCTGGGGCAAGGGATGCTCTGTCTTCTTGGTGCTTGGGGGGGGGGGTCAACAGGGGGAGGGCTTCTGGTGTCCTGGCCCCCCACTGGGGGACCTCCTGATGCCCCCTGGTATTTCTGGCCACTGTGTGACACAGAGTGTTGGACTGGATGGGCCTTTGGCCTGATCCAGCATTGGCATCTCTTATGTTCTTATGTTCTTAACACCTGTGTTGGGAAGAGGAGAAGAGGCACAGACCCAAGGCCGCCTCGTGATGCGCAGGGACCACCTGGCGACTGGGCCACGATGGACCGAGGCGGGACTCTGAGCGACACACAGATGGGCTTGTTTTTGCCCAACGGGGGTGGGGGGGTGGTTCCCTGCAGGTGGAGGTAACTTACCCACATGTGTCGCCCAAGGCCCAGGTGGGCCAGAAGACAAAAAGGACCCCGATGGGGAGTAGCAGTGTCTTCATCCTCCATGGGGCAGCCACTGCCACATTCCGCCATCTGCTCCTGTTGTCCATGACATCACAAACCACACTCTTTGAGGCTTTGGCCTATCGGCTCCTGGGCAGGATGATGTCACACAGAACAGCCTGTAGCTCTCCAATAAGAAGACGGCCTCAATGAAAGACAGAGACCCAAGACAACAGCGCCTCCGGGGTATCTGCCAGGAGGGCCTCTGAACCTCGCTTGCAAAGGGAACCCAGTACAGAATTTTTTGCCGTCACACCCACTAAATAATACACTTTCAATGCACTTTCCAACTGGGTTTTGCCAGTTCACACAGTAAAAATCCAGTTGGAAAGTGCACTTGTTAGATCGCACTAACAAAGGACTCTTAGAGTGATTCAGCAAGTGATTCAGCTTTATTGGAAGTAACGAACAAGCACTCAACTCAGTAAGAAACCAGAACAGAAAACAGTGGGAGCTTATGCTCCTTTTAAACATAACCGGGCTAATGTAGCCACGCCTATTTACAATTAACAACCAATGAGATTGCTTAGTTAAGGACCAATGGGAGTCTTTCCCTCCTAGGGAATGGTATCGTTCTGATTGGTCGCTGTTACGAAGCGACCAATAGGAAGTTCGCTCAGAGGAGCCCTGGTATGGCTCGAAGCTTAACATAGGAGCCCTATGAGGTGATTCATGTAAACGTTTCAATACATTACAGCACTGACAGTGGATTATTTAGAAGAGGAAGAGCAGAGAAGAAGAGATTGGATTTATAGCCCGCCCTTCACTACCCAAGGGAGTCTCAGAGCAGCTTACAAACTCCTTCCCCTCCCCCTCCCCACAACAGACACCCTGTGAGGTAGGCGGGGCTGAGAGAGCTCTTGACAGAAACGGCTCTTTTTCAAGAACAGCTCTTATCTGAACTATGGCTTGCCCAAGGTCATCCAGCAGCTACAAGTGGAAGAGGAGAGGAGGAGGAGGAGGAGAGGAGATTGGATTTATACCCCGCCCTTCACTTGGAGTCTCAGAGCGGCTTACAAGCTCCTTTCCCTTCCCCTCCCCACAACAGACACCGTGTGAGGTGGGTGGGGCTGAGAGAGCTCTGACAGAAACTGCTCTTTTTCAAGGACAGCTGTGCCAGAGCTTGTGACTGACCCAAGGTCACATCAGCAGGTACAAGTGGAGGAGTGGGGACTCAAACCCGGTTCTCCCAGATTGGAGTCCGCGCACTTAACCACTACACCAAACTGGCTGCAAACTGGCTGCAGGGAATTGTTGTACGCACAGTTTATGAAACACTGTTAAAGCATTTTGCCCTCTGCCACTGACTAACGGAATGAGCTTTGCAGGTACACGTAACCTTTCTGTGATACATATGTCAAGTGCTATTTATGATTTTAACTACATGGACAGAAATCAATCGTGAATGTATTCAGATATTAGACTTGGGTTCACTTATGGCTATTGCTGGAAATGCATCCTGGGAAGCTTAATCAAAATGCTGTTCTGCTATTTTGCTGTTCTGCTGAGGGTTGCGGCCTTGACTGACTGGCTCCTTCTGCACATGTGCCAGTTAGCTTGGCTACACAGAGGACAATGAACATCTTATAACCATATCAGCTAATATAGATACTTTTGGAATTCTATGACCTAGGCTAAAGAGAAGTTTAATGTTCAGCTAGGAGGAAGAAACTTTGCCTAGGAGGACCCAACCCACAGGTCTCAACCCAATGGGAAATAGATGACGCAGTTTGAAGTTTGCTGTAACTAATAATTCTTTTTCATTTCTCTGATGTAATGTGAAATATAAAAGACTATGTCTCCCATTGTAACCTCGGAGACGCTGGTTGGTATCTGAGGGGAGCCAACCCCTGTTTATTTGGTTTCTCCCTGTTAATCGATTAACAGTAAAGGCCACTGTTACAGTTTCTTCCTTCACAGGACTGAGAGAGCGTGTTTCTCAAATTGGAACCAGGGAAACACAGGGGATTTGTACTACAAAATCCAGGGGTCATTTAGTAGAAAAGGAAGTGCCGGAGCTCATTAGCATAACTCATTCGCATAACTTATTTGCATATGCCACACCCCCTGACCTCACCGGAAGTGTGTCAGAAGGCAACACCCACCGCTCAGGCTCCACTGGACTGTTTTGGATTGCTAGCTACTGGGGGGGGGGACGTGCAGATCTGCCCTGGCAGAGGAGGGAGAGCTTGTACCTGAATAAAACTTGGTCTTAAAGGTGCCACTGGACTGTTTTGGGCTGGGGGGCTCTGCAACTTACCTGGCTGCTTCTTGCTCTGACTGAGGGCTGCTGGGAGCAGGGGGCGGAGCTTGTTGCATGTGCCCGCCCCCTGGGCTCTTTACTGCCGGAGCTCCACTCCTGTAAAAAATGACCCCTGACAAAATCAAACCCAGTTCTCCCAGATTAGAGTCCGCGCACTTAGCCACTACACCAAACTGGTTCTCAGTGTGTGTGACCACGGCCTTAGTCAAGGCCAGTGGAGTTTAGACTTCCCACTGCATGGCAGTTTTTGCATTATCCGTTTACCTGCCACAGAACCCGTTATAGAGGGTTGTTGGAGGCATGTTCCGTGCCAAACAAAAGGAGATGGTGGGAGGGGAACCCATTGAACGAATTTCCCTCACCTCTTTTACAGATTCTGTTCTGGGCCCCGAGGCAAGGAGAGGAGGCGTCAGCCCTTTCCTCCCCTACTGTTTTCGCTACCGCCCTTTCCCTCCCAGGACTCCTGTTCGTTGCGCTGAATCAAGCCTTCAAATAACAAGGGGGTGCCTCCTGTTCTTCACTGAACCCCAAGATGACCGTGTAGGTTTCTGTCCGCCCGGTTGCCAAGGCAACGCCTCTGAGCTTCAGGCACCTGGATTAATGTAGTAGATATAGTACTTTAAAAGGGCCCGGAAGGCAGGCCTCTCAGCAGAAGGGGAAATTGGGATTCACGACTGAAATGACGTGTGCAAACCAACAGATCAAACACTGGCACGGATGATCAGTCTTTCCCTTCCTACCGCACTATAAGCAAGCGCCACCTTTTATTTTGAAAAGTGCCACATGAAAGATTGTGGGTGCATTCGTTGTCTTGTAGGTTTGGTTTTTCAAAGGGGAACTGCTCTAGGGATTCAGGGGAGGTTCTTTGGTGACATCACAGGAAGAAGCCAATCATCATCCGGCACAGGTAACTTCCACGTCACCCTTTCAGGTCCATTTGTAAGAACTTGACCCTGCACCGAACAGTGTAAAGTTGCCTCCAGAAGAGCATCTCTCTTTATTGCAATCACTGTTTAGCCAGACACAGGGCCGGGGCCAGGCTTTTTGCACACTAGGCAAGGCTACCTTCTGGCGCCCCCCCCCCCGGTGTGCCCACCAATTTCCAAACATAAATGCATTTTAGGAAGAATGAAAAACACAAGATTTGAAACTGCTAATCTATTTATTTTTCAATTGTGACCAGACTGGCTTCTATGATGGCACACTAGGGACTTGAATCTTGGTGTCCCTGATCCTAGTTTGACATTCTAACCAGTTCACTACCCTGGTTCAACCCGTTCAGCCACTGAAGTCTTTGGGTGATCTCTATCCAGTCACTAGCTCAAAGCAAGGATTGGAGCTTTGCTGCAAGGACAAAAGACGGCTGAAGGAACCAAGTACGCCACACACGTCATCTCCTTGGAGGAAAAGGTAGGGTTAACACACCCTCCAATAAAATACAAGATCAGAATTGGTGTTCCCAGAAGCAAGGGAGAACGAATAGGCAGAAGGCAGGAAAAGAAATCCGCATGCCTACCTTTGCCAAAGCAATGGCCCGTCACCAGAAAGCTCACGGAGACCACTTATCAAGGCCACCAAAGGCAGGGGCTCAGAGCTCCAGTGGTAGAGCATCTACTTAACATGCCGAAGGTCCCAGGTCCAATCCCTGGCATCTCCAGCTCAAAAGTACTAGATAGGAGGTGAAGTGAAATATTTTGACACTAGACCCTGGAGAGCCATTGCCATTCCCAGCAGACAAGACTGACCTGACTGGACCAGTGACTCAGTAACTATGTTCGCATCTTACAGTGCATTTGTTTGTAAGAAACAGCCAACATGCATCCACTCAGCTCCTGAAGCTAAGGGTTCAGTTGTACATGACCCCGAATGTCACATGGGAATTACTCAACACACATATAAAGAAAGATAAAGTATAGATACACACAGATTGTATGTGTGTTCATGGTAGCTTATGAACAGGGCTAGTCTACAGCAGCTGTACCAAATGTTGGGAGGGAGAAGTCCAAGTTCACAGGCGGATCAAGCATTGGGGTCGATGACTCTAAATGCAGTAAAGACCACACAGGACACTTTGCATTTTACTGCAAGCACTTCAACCCGCACCAAGAGTGGCAGAGTCTAATCTGAAGAACCGGATTTGATTCCCCACTCCTCCACATGAAGCCTGCTGGGGGACCTTCAGCCAGTCACCGTCCTCTCAGCCCCACCTGCCTCACAAGATGCCTGTTGTGGGGACGGGAAGGGAAAGCCGCTTGGAGACTCCCTAAGGCAGAGAAAAGCAGGGTATAAAAACCAACTCTTCCATCTGCACCAGCCAAATGAAAGAAAGCTGAAACCAAAAGGTGTCTCAAGGCACTTGAAAGGCCAGCAGATGAATTAAAATGGTGCATACAAACAAACTCAAAAGGGCGAAAAAACAGTAGCACATCTTCACAACACCAAGCCTAGGATCTGGCCTTCAACAGTATACATGTTGTAACAGCTGCAAGACTTGTTTTTGCTAAGAGTTGGAAGAGTGAGGAGGTACCGTCCATACAAGAGTTTTACAAAACACTTCTGGAGATAGCTGAATTAGACCACCTTTCAATAAAAAATACAAGGTAAAGATTAAATTATTTTTCAAAAGACTTGGTCATGGGTTTATGAATGGATGGAAAAAAAAACCAAAACAAAAGATAGAAATATGAGCATATACATATATACATATTAATATCAAACCTGAAATAAAAGGGGGGTTCCTTTACGTTTATTTGTATGTTTTGTGGTATAGTTTATGTGGTGTTTGTGGTATTCCTTATGCGGTGAAACTGAATAAAGAATTATAATAATAATTTTTTAAAAGAGTATACACATCCATCAGTCCGCTTGCCTTTAAGATGCCACAAGAGTAAATTAAATTGAGATATTATCTAAAAATACCTAAATGGGTGGCGCCAATGGAAGCGGCTACACTTTCAACACTGATGAAGACAAGAAGGAAAGTAAGGTATGAAGATCTGCTAGATGAGAATAACAATTTAAAACCAGATGAACAGTTAAATAACCAAAACATAAAATTTACATGGTGGGAGAGGACTCAATTATCTGCAATATATAAGACAGACAAAAAAAAAAAGGATTTTATAGGGAAAAAAATGAATTGGACAGGATTTGGCTGTCCTCTAGCAATAAACTTATTCAAAAATTATATAAACTGCTGATGGAAGAATATATGATGGGAGAAATGGTGAAAGGCACAATGGTGACGTGGGCTAAAGATCTAAACTGTATGTTAGAACCAGAACAATGGGTTAAAGTATGGAGTTCAATAAAGTTAATGAGGGCAATACCATATAAAGAGAACATTTACAAAATGTTCTACAGGTGGCACTGGACACCTGAGAAGATAGCTAAATGTTATGTAACATCTAATAGAAATTGCTGGAAATGTAAAAAAACCGTTGGCACATTTATGCATATGTGGTGGAGGTGTGACAGGTACAAAGATTCTGGGGGAAAGCTTATCGAATGTTAAAGGAAATAACAGGAATGCAAATACCTTTCAAACCAGAGATAGCTTTATTGAATATGGTTCCAGACATATATAACGGTACAGAGAAATATGTAATCATATACTTCTTTATGGCAGCAAGAATCTTACTAGCTAAAGTGTGGAAAGAAGAGAAAGTACCTTCAGAAAAAGATATAATTGAAAGAATGTTGACTGTAGCGGAGATGGATAGATTAAAATAAGGAGATATTTGAAAACCGATGGAAAATGTTTTATATGTGGATGGATAATGTAATTAGAAAAGACTCACAAGAATAAATAATGTAATACGAAGATGTAATGTAAATAATGAAAAATGATAAATAAACTGTTTTTAAAAAAAGATGCCACAAGAGTCATGTTTGGCTAAGGTTTAGATTTTAAACCTGGCTTTTAAAACCATTCCATTTCGAAAGGAATTCCCCCATCTCTCCAACTGCTTTTAAGCCCTTCACGTGCACTGCAGAGATGCGAAAACAATCCTGAAAAGAAGTCTACTCTGAAGTAAGAATGGTATTCCCAGCAGTCATGTATGACTGCAAGAGTTGGACTATAAGGAAGCCCGAGTGCCGAAGAATAGATTCTTTTGCACTATGGTGCTGGAGAAGATTCTTGAGAGTCCCTTGGACTGCAAGAAGAACAAATCAGTCAATCCTAAAAGAAATCAACCCTGACTGTTCCCTGGAAGGCCAGATAATGAAACTGAAGCTCAAATACTTTGGCCACCACCCAATGAGAAGGGAGCACTCCCTGGAGAAGACCCTGATGCTGGGAAAGATTGAAGGTCAAAGAAGACGGGGACGGCAAAGGATGAGATGGTTAGACAGTGTCATGGATGCAACGAACATGAAATTGAGCCAACTTCAGAGGATGGCAGAAGACAGGAGGGCCTGGCGTGATCTGGTCCATGGGGTCGCGAAGAGTCGGACTTGACTGTGCGACTGAACAACAACAACAACAACTGTATGGCTGCGAGAGTTGGACTATAAGGAAGGCCAAGCGCTGAAGAATAGTTTCTTTTGAACTATGGTGCTGGAGAAGACTCTTGAGAGTCCCTTGGACTGCGAGGAGATAAAATCAGTCAGTCCTAAAAGTAATCAACCCTGACTGCTCATGGAAGACCAGATTCTGAAGTTGAAGCTTACAGTCTTTTAGCCTCCGGCTCACACATTTTTTGTCTTCGTTCAAGAAGGGTGGCTCCAAGAGCAAACTAACTCATGCAGTAGCCAAATTGCCCGCTCACACCTTTAATGCCAGGAGCTCACAAAGCAGAATTTCTGCTCACAGGACTCCACAGTTTAGAGGGAACATTGGAAGTAAATCCCGTTTGACTGAAGGGGGCTTAGTGCCAGGAACGAATGTGAAAGATTGCCACGTAAGTTTCCCGAAGCAGCAACCAGAGAGAGTGTGGGCCCTCGTTACTCTGAGCACCCACCCATAGCCCTTCAGAGCGGATCTGATGGGCCCAGGGCTGGATGCTATCAGCTCTGGTTGGGTATTGGGGGGGCCACAGGAAAGAAACAGAAGAATCACAGAATCATAGTTGGGAGGGACCTCCAGGGTCATCTAGTCCAACCCCCTGCACAAGGCAGGAAATTAATTAATTAATTAATTAATTAATTTAATTTTATTTTATTTCATTTCATTTATACCTCCCCCCCCACACCCGCAATGACCCCTGCTCCATGCCCAAAAGATATCCTGTCCAAACTGGCCGGGAGAAAAATTGTTTCCTGACCCCAAAGTAGTGATCAGAAGTATAACCCAAATCAT